GAATGCCATGGGCCATATCTGGACCAGACAGTAACTGGATGTAGCTGCCTGTGATGCATCAGATACTGCCCAGGGATTTAGTGACATCCCTCTTGTTACTGTACAAACATAAAGGAAAACTGGAAATATTATGAGAAACATGGTGTGAGGAAAAAGTAAAACATTATTAGTAATAGTAGAAAGTGGGAGTAATTAGTGTGCAACTGATAAATGAAGCAGGGCAGTGTTAGTTTATCACAAACATATCACTTCATATGTTGGCTAAGTGACAAGAAATGTCAGTGAAAATCTGCTGGAGGTCATTAAGAACTTGTGTCTCCATTACTAAGTCCACCAGAGCACTGGCATGTTTATTGTTCAACTACAGTATGAATGTGGTCACACATTTTAAATGACATAAACCTCATCAAAAACACGTGTTTATTATTAGCTCACTTTGTATTCATTTACAGTTTTGGCTCAACAGATTAGTGACATTTGTTGCTGCTGTTTCTGGAAATCTATAAATACAAATTCCATCGAAATAGGCCTTTAAATCCATGTTTTTTCCATTTCACATACAGTCATGATATTTTGATTTAACATCATGAGCAATATGGAAATGTTGTTACAGGGCAGAGGACTTCATCTCATGTTAATTTTCTAAGTTTCTGGAAATCTATAAATACAAATTCCATCGAAATAGGCCCAAACATATTAAATCCGCCCCAAAATGAGATGGCAGTGGAGTTAACAAAATTCAGGTCGCGATAATAAGCCACGCCGATTTGATTATATCATACATGTCTATAAGGGAACAGTCTCCGATACACACACAGTACATCACTGCAGATACAATCTGTATCAAATCGTGTGTACAAAATGGTGAAACATTACTTGATTGTGTCACAACAACTAAACAACACCCCTGATGTCAGTGGGGAAATGGAGGAACCTGACATTTGACAGGCAAATTCTGTTCACGCCTGTTTGGAGCTGCAGTCAGCCTCCAGCACAACATCCTCTTTTTAGGAAAACATCGCCTCCTTTACGTCGCTGTCTAAACCGACTGACGCCACACAGACACACACTGTGCTGCTTCTTTAAATGGAGAGAGGGTCCATCACTGTCTGTGCGCCTTTGCAGTCAATGGCGGCCCACTCCTATGGGCTATCTATGGTCTGTGTGCAGAGAGCCAGTCATCCCCGGCTGGCCACAGTGTGCACTGTGCATCAAAATCAACTGACACGGCATTTAAAACAGAGAAGGCAGAGCTGGTGTGTATTAGACCTGCACTGAAACATATTAAACGAGGCCTTCAGCATTAACAGCATATAAAGTGGATCGATAGCTCCTGATAAATGTCATCGATTAATTTTCATGTTGTTGTGATGCTGCCTCGTTTGGAGCAGATCAAAACAACGGGTTTTCTCCTTTACACGCTGTCATGCATATGTGCAACCATATAGTGCTGTTTTCGCCGACAGACAATAACCCGGGCTGCCGTGACCTACAAAAGGAGTCGCCTCATGGACCAAAAGAGAAGCCAGACAACAAACCACGGTTACACGGATCTGGGCAGCACACAGACAGGCAGGGGAGAGTGGGGAGAGGGGGGTGTATTGCCCTTACTTTATCCGTGGACCCCGGACTGAGCCGCTCCAGAAGTCTACACAAGACCACCCCATCTTTCAGGGAGCTCTGCAGAAACGCTTCAGGATCCAAGATGGTCTTCTTTGGCGATTCCAGCACCCCGAGCGTAATCAACCATGTAACCGTCTGTTCCGCCGAATTCATGTCCAGTCACAACAGATCCGATTCAACAAAGCGGCTGTGTTTGGGTATCTCAGCAGCTTACTGCCCCGGTTAGGCTGTCATCTGTGCGTTAGAACAGACACACGGGCTAATTAATCCCCCCAAAATGATGCATGAGTCGGCGATAAGAGAGGCTGCGGGAGAACCTCTGCTTCGGATGGATGCGGATGACGGCTGGCTGGTGGAAATTCAGCAGGTCTAGTTTCCCCTCTTGAGTGGTGTGTTTTCCCCCTTTAACCTGGCAAGCTGTCAAGTGAGATTCGCTGTGATGCGTTGAGGCAGGGACCTGTATACATGCGCATCGCAGCCGCCAGCCGCTCATCCATTGGATGACATCACACAAGAGGGACAAGCCAGTCCAACCAGTTGTTAGGACACTTGAGCACGACATGAATGGTCTCTCTCTTTGCGGCTTTGCATATCCTTTTATATCTGTTTATTATGTGCAGGCCACAGGCTATCTGTTGCTATCTGCTGTGTTTTGGACAGGCCTCAATTCAAAAGGGGAAGCAGCTGAGCAAACACGTTAGACATAGAGCGGAGGCTTCAGTGCTGGCATTTAAATTTGACTAATACTAAAGGCATCATTTGGCTAATTGTAACACGAAAACAGGCAGATCATTTAGTGAAAACAGCTGGATTTGAGCACTGAGCCAAGATCTGCTTTAACCAGACAGCCAAGACTCTGATATCACTGTTATGAGTGATTCTTCCTTATTGCTTTCATCTACCCCAAGTTATTCTGAGCCTGATAAATGAGAGGTCACAAGTTTATACAAAATAAAACAAGAAGAGAAAATTGTTACACAAAATTTTTCCATTTTCTTCTTAATTCTTTCTCATCTTCAGGCATGTCAATCATTCAGATGACCAAACCTGAAAAGAAAATGTCTCCATAATGACGCCATAACCTGTAACGTGGGGTCACATGTAGATGTAGGAACCACTGCCCAAGATCACTGCATTGTATCATTTCATCCATCTATTCTTGTTATACCTGTAACACTGCTGTAGCCTGTACCTGCCACTGAGCCTATAGGTGAAAATCACAACGCATTCTCACCTGTAAGAAAGCCTCTGTTCGATTCAACAACAGCTGCATTAAACATTTAAATAAACATTGATTTGTTAATTGAGAAATCAGCAGATAAAAAAACAGCTCTAAGTCAGAGCCTAAGACACTCAGACAGGTGAGAAATTTTAAAGGAAAAGCCAATAAATATAAAGTATCTCAGTAGGGTGTTGGGCCACTCTGCACCACCAGAACAGCTTCAGTGCCCCTTGGCATTGATTCTACAAGTCTGAACTCTACTGGAGGGATGGACACCATTCTTCCAACAGATATTATTCCCTTATTTGTTGTTTTTGATGGTGGTGGAGACACCATCTAATATCTCGGTCCACAGGCTACCATAGGCGTTCAGCTGGGTTGAGGTCTGGTGACTGCGATGGTCATTGTATTTCATCCAAACCATTCATTGACTCCTTTTCTTTAATTTGTCACCTGTCTGTATCACAGCACAGTAACTGAGGAGCTGTAGAAGGGTCATGGAGGAGGCCGACTTCTCTACTTCTCACTTTGACCACAGGGTGGAGCCCTCTGCTTACTGCTTCTAATGAACTAAACATCTTGTGCTGCAGGGACGCCCTCAGCCTCATAAAGCTGGTGGCCTATAGCTATACACAACAGTCTGCAAATCAACAAGGGGCCAGTTATCACCTACTAATAACCCTGATCATCCATCGTGTCCACTAATGATCGCTAAACCTTTAGTCCACTTATCAGAGGTAACAGGGACCATGGGTTCCAAAGCTGAGAAGGCCTAATGCTGATGAAGAAATGCCAGTACATTATCCTTAAAATAAACGTATTTTTAAAGCAAATCCATGCTTGTTAATGATCTAACAACAAATCCTTCAGTTGAAAACATGCACTCTTTTTTGTGAGTATCTTACATGTTCCATTTTCTAATAAGCCATTAATGAAATGGTTTATAATCATTTATTAATATTTTATAAATTGCCTCTATAGTATTAACCCGTTGTTTGTTTGTTGGTTGGTTTGTTGGGGGGTGCCTTGCCAGGTTGCCAGGATACAAGTGCATCACAGTGACTGCTCCTGTAAATAACCAGTTATAATGTGGGAAAAGGCTGTAACACATTTGGACCAAAATACGGTTATAACAGCTAATTCAAGTGATAAAACAGTTCTAAATTAATATATTTAATATGTAACTTACACATTTTTGTTCTGGGCTTGTTATAAATCAGAAACAGCTTTAATGACTAGGTGCGTTGGATACAAAAGAAATTAGACTCTGGTACAGTGGCTCTTAATGTGCATGTACGGTGTCCTTCTGTAAGACAACAAGCAGACAAGTGAACAAAATAATACTGAGAACAAAAAAAGTGTAAAAACCTTTATTATTAATACATTTATCATCCTTTATAACTGAAAACATGGAGACTTATTAGACAGTGAAACAATAGTGTGTGTTTATTAATGGTTTACCAACAGTTTTTCATGCCAACCTAAAGGATGTTTTTTACAACCTAACAGCTGAAAAGTTGTTTTTATTAATGGATTAAAACTGACACGTAGTAAATGATTTATTAACCATTAACAAAGCCATCATTACAGTTTGTAATGAATTTATAAAAGGTTCTTTATTAGATGGTGTTACCAAATTGCCCACCTTTCTGTCACTACCTGTAGGAATCTGGAGGACCCATAGCATCACCATAGCAACCAGAGCAAGCTGCATGGACTCACACAGTACAGCTCAGGCCTACTTGTTCTCTCTCAACACTTTACCACCTCCATCTCCCTCATTTTGCCTCTGTGTGTGAGAAGAGAGAGAAGAAAGAGTATGAGAGAGAGGGAGAGGGAGTGAGAGAGAGAGAGAGTTGTCAAGAAGAGCGACTCTTGAGGCCAGCCCTGTTCTAAACAGGCAGTGTCGAGGGATGCCTTTGTGCCTTTGAGGTCCTGTCACCATGGGTCTGTAACCAAGGGTGCTACTGTGTGGCCTGGAAACTGGCCCCGGGCATTTCATATCCTTCCATTCCCAGTTCATCCCTACATTTCCAGTATGTTCCACAGGAAAATGTTTGTATTGTGTCTTTATTGTCTTTGTTTCTTAGGTTTGTGAACATACATAAGAAAACAGAATAATTCTGAGAAAGGCAGAATTTTCCTGGAATATTAGGATCAAATGGTGTGAGTCAAATAGTCCAAATAAAAGAGCTGACAGCCAGCCCCATACATTTAGTGACCACTTTATTAGGTACATCTGTACAACTATAAAGTCTACTTTTATGGTCTTGTGACACTCTCACTGTGATAATTAAACTATGTTTTATATTGGCATCAAGGTTAAGGAGTGTTGTACTTGACTGCATTAAACTCAGAGGTGTTTCTAATGTCCTGTCCCCTCATGTAAATGGGAAACATTACAAGAACAGAGTAAGCTGATAACCGGACATTTTAGCAGCTCAATAACAGACATGTCCCTCGGCAGTTATTTAAGATCAGAACAAAGATAAAAGCAAAAACAATATGATACTTTCACTTCTTATTTGTTGCTCATCCTCTCCTAGATGTGTACATATAAAGTTGTGTTTACTTCTAAAGCCAGCAAGATCATCGGTGTCCCTCTGCCTTCCCTTACGGACATCTTCAACACCCGCCTCACCCACAGAGCCATCAGCATTGCTGATGACACCTCTCACCCCGCACACTCCCACTTCAGACGCAGTACTGTCCATGTATACCTCACATGCTATTTGCACCTCATCACCAAAGCCCTGGTGATGCTGAACCATCTGACCATCTCCTATTATTGTTTGCACTATTGTCACTGACTGTACACAGTTTTGAGTCACAGATTATTGGTTGTACCGTTTAGATTTATCCTAATTATGTCAGTCCAGTTCTTATTCTATTCTATTCTGTTTGTATTCTATTTGTATTTTACTTTATTCTGTTTTAGTTCCTAAATGTTATGGCATCCAATACTAGGTGAGAGAGAAACGGTATTTAGATTTTCTGTATGTCCTACACATATGGTGAATTGACAATAAAATCCTTGAACTCTGAACAATTGAACATTCATCCTCGTGGCCGCTCTTAGTCGTGATCTCCCTGCGTGAGCCTCGTGTGTGTGTCATCTCTGACGTTACCGACCCGCCTACATCGCCCTCTGTCTCTCTCCGTGACACAGAGGCTCTTCAGCAGCTGCACGGCGGGTCCGCGAGTGAAGAGCCAGTGGGTCGGTGGCACGGAGCGGCACGGAGCGGCACAGCATCCGCTGCTCGTAACGCGAGTCCTCATTGGCATGGACACCGGAGGAGACCACTGACCATCCAGGAACCATGCCTACTGTCCTCGGTGGCAAAGGGAAACTTTCCGTTGTCTGTTTTCTGCTCCGATGCACATATTCACAGGTGAGCGGATGCATGGTGTGAAAAGAATAGAGTTGTGAATGCTACGGCGTAAATGGCTCAGTGACCACAGTTTGGTTTAACCAGTCATTCCGCGTTCTTCTTGGGTCTTTTTAGTGCATATTTAAAGTCACCGGTTACATATAGTAGCTCTAGGTTATATGTGAATGATCAACCTTCTTTCAAGTGAATGCTGAAATAAAATAAAGTAATAAAGCTGCAGAGTGTGAACGTCTACTTTCAAAGCACTCAGCACAGATGGCAGTGCTAAACATAGCATAAAGTGAAAATGAGCATAACTTCAGTAAGTGGAGATTCTTTAAGAGTGTAACAGGTGGTTAATAGTGCAGTTGGCTGGCATGCTGCTTGTTGCAGGTGTTATGATGGGTTGTGGTTTGTTTGACCCCTGGGGATTCATTCATGTGGGTATTGCACCAGTCTGAGCTATAGCCTTTGATGCTAGTCGGTAATGGATGTGTGAAACACATTGTGCATGGTAATATCTCTGCTAATGGGCCTGTAAGTGTGAACTGAGGAAACAAACCTGACTTCTGCTTGTGCATGGACCACAGGGAGCTAAAATGCTGTCCATCTGTGTTTGTTTTGTTTTTTTGTTTGTTTGTTTGCAAACCTGACTTCTGCTTGAGCTAAAATGCTGTCCATCTGTGTTTATGTTGTTTTTTTGTTTGTTTGTTTAGTTTTTTGTTTAGTGCCTGTGACTTCATGACTGCATTGTAAGCAAACAGTTTTCACACACACTGTTTTCCATCCCCAGGCTTAATGTCCAGTCACTCAAACACTGACCTTAGTGAGTCATGCAAGTAGAGACAGTTTCACACACATACTGTGCACATCCACACATTTTTTTTTAACTGTGCATGCTTATGCTGCACAGATGACACTGAAGGCAAGACTGGGACACCGAAGTACAAATCAAATCACCAAAATAAAACTAATACAGCGTATAAAGGAACATTTAAAAACAGTGTAGTTTATAACCAAACAGAAAGACTGTCAGTGTTCTGAAGATGAGGTCCACGCAGAACGATGAAAACGTGAAACAAAACCAAACAACTTAAATGTAATGAGAGCGTGGTTCCCATTACCAAATGAGGAATTAAAGGAAACAATTTTTGCCACTTATTTGTGTAGCAAGACAATCTGTTGTCACACAAAACTTACAGTCAGGATGAAACATGCTCACACATAAACTGAAAGCACCTCCATACACACAGTCACACAGACAAGGGAGTGCATGTAATATAAGTCATTTGTGTTTTATCTTAAAGCTTGAGCTTGGTTCTCGTGTAAACAAAGTGAATTTAAATTGTGGGCTGATTTGTAAAAAGGAGAGAAACATAGAGGAGTGAGAGAAAAAGAGAGAAGGGGGTTGCCTTACGTGGATGGAAACTGAAAGTTGCATGCAACAGTATCAGCGTCTGTCTGATCATCTGCAGCTGTGATTTCTAAGATATGAGTCATCAACATCCTCTCAACTCACAATTACTGTGTGACTGTAAGGTTTACAGTGAAGTGCTACACTGAGCTGTGAATGCTACAGCAAAAAAAAGGCGGGAAGCAGATTACAGAACGTGAACTGTTTTAGATTCTGTATATATTGTACAGTATGTGTGTCTTGTCTTTGTGATGAAGACTGAAACAGGAAACTTTACATCTTCACCAAAGACTGGTGAAAGAAACGAACAGGGTTATGCATCTGTGACTGTGCACAGCTACGCTCGCTTCTGGTTGCGGAAGTGGGCCTGTGTGCTAAATTTGAATTTTAAATGAGACACACACTGTGCACGTTACTGTACTTTTGATGCACACATACAGTTTGCGGGTGCAACAGATCTTCCTCCTTGTGCTTTACTAGTGAACCTGTGGATGTGAAGTGTTACAAACTGTCTTCACTTTGCACAGGTAACAAGAAACCAACACAACAGCGGTGCCAAAGATATTCTGGAGGTAAGAAGTCACTTGAAATGTTTGTAATACTTGACTTAAATTATCTTACGTATCACAGGTGCAGAAACTGGCCTTGATGATTGAGATTCATCACTCAGAAAATGTATCATGGCATAATGTGAAGCATGATTATATACAGTTTGCGTGATTGATTACTGCACATCATTGCTAACTTGGGGAGGCAGCTGATTATTATTTCCATTATTGATCAAAGTTTTCAGTTTTTTCTGAGTAAACAACTAATCGATTATTCTATGAAATGTCAGAAAATTGTGAAAAAGGTCTGACAATCCACCCAAATCCCCCAGATCTTGAATATAAAACACCAAAAACTACAAATTTTAGCAAGTTAGATTCTGGAATTAGAGAAATTATTTTCTTAAAAAGAGAAATAAGCAGTCAATTCTCACATTGGGAAAGCTCACAACAGAGTGTTTGGCTGTGACAGCGAGTAAAGGGGAAAACCCGTTGAAAAACCTAATGAAACAATTGAATGACTGCAGATTCATTTTCTGTAGCTTTACTGAGTGGATTAACTAGTCATTTCAGCTGTAAGCTCACAGATGTCCCACTCTGCACAGTGGCCGTGTGGTCGCCTTTCTGTTCATATTTTGTTAGAAGTTTCACAGTGAAGAGAGCGTCCTGTCACTAGCGTGGAACGGAGAGGAAGAGCAGAAGAAAAGAGTGGAGATACAGAAGATAGGGTGGGGAAGGGTGGGAGGAAGATAGCAACACATAATTCTCCAACTGGGAGCCTTGTTGTTGATGGAGGAAAGGGGTGAGGGCTGGTGCTGTGTCCTTGGTGACTGAGGGAGGATAGATAATGAAGTGAAAAGACGAGCATAGAGAGGAAACACTTGCCCTCCGGGGTTTAGTGTAGAGAGTGGGAAGAGAGAGGGGGGGAAAGATTACAGTCATCTGTCAGGTTCATAAATATAGGCACCCTTATTCGCTTTCATTTAGACAACAAAATCGGTACCTCTCTCATGTCTATTTAAATCTGAAGTTACAACTAGCAGCTGGTTAGCTTAGGTTCACATGAAGACTCAAACTAGGGGGAAACGGCAAACCTGCCTCTGTCCAAAGGTAACAGAATTCACCTGCCAGCACCAAGAAAACTCAATAACTGATGTCATATTTTGTGTAATTTGTGCAAAAACGGAAGGGCTCTAGAACATCTAGCACATAACCCCGCATTTCATTTGTTACTATCAGACCGAGCCAGGCTAGCTGATTCCACCTGCTAAGCTGAGCTAACTGGCTACTTCCTGTAGCCTTTTATCAAACTAAAATGGTATCAATCTTTTCATCTTTTGCCAAGAAAGCAAAAAAAAGCATATTTCCCTAAATTAGAGCCTCAACAGTTCCCATTACCACGTCCTGATATGCACTCAGTCCACCACCCACTGATATACACACAAACCCTCAGATATCAGAGCTGATAAAACATAACCTCTTCCAGACCTAGCTCACTGTTTCAGCAGTCAAGCAATCTCATGCCCTCTCTCACTGAATATTTGCTACACACACACATATCCTGTACATTTCACACAGAGCTTTCACATCATGAAATAGCTGAGAAACCAGATTACGCTAAAATGGTAAATGAATGTTACAAAATCAGGCCATTTTCTCAGCATCCATGAGGCCTGGTTTGTGTGACTGTGGGCAATGTAATCTGCAGAGATAATAATCAGAGCTGGAGCAAAGACAGTGGGCTGTGGATGCAGAACTCTCTCCATGTGGTTGGTTTTCTCCTGAGGGCTGAACAGAAATAACCAATAAAAAATGGGGTAAATTCTTTTAATAGTCCAGGTGCATAATCGTGTGTAATCATCACAGACTCTTTCGTCTTCCTTAGGGTGAGCAGTGATGTGTACGTGCACAAATATGCAGAGACACTATCACTTAACTGTGACCATCCACCACATGTACTGTATATGCATTATGCAAAAATTTCCTCAGGGCAATCTGCATGTTTTCATTGGTCATGTTTCAGTAAATATTGAACTGAATACATGAACTGAGAAGTACTTAGAGCTTGCATACCTGTACCAAGCCTACATCATCCTCTTTTTTGTCTTATTTGCACTGGGATTTAATCTGCATCAAAAACCCAGTAATAGACAATCACACTGGTTGGGAGATGGCAGACATCTCCCAGTGTAGGGACTTTTGGTAAACAGCATAGCTACTGTCAGGGAATGCTAAGGATTTGCTAAAGAATAGATTGTGCAGAAAAGAGAGTTGAAGACTAATGAATGAAGTGTTACAGCTTGAAGCGTTTTCATGTTGTTGTAGCGCCACCTATAGGAGAGGTAATATCAACTTTTACAGGGTGATTATCGATTTCAAATTTGGCTGTAAATGCACAATGCATTTAAGATTTGATGAACCTTTTCTTGTCTACAGTCACAGCTAGCAATAAATCCCATTTAGAACTAATGTAGTGTTTTATTGGTGATTCACTAACTTGTAGTCTGTACAGTGTCAGAAAGGTTAAACGCAAGTTACCCAAGCAGTACTGTCTTATTGCTTATGTTACCTGGAATATGTTCACCTAACCTGAATTATATTATTCTGTTAGTTTCTTCTCACAGAGTTCTTTATAAAAATGTTCAAACAAATCAGTTATGTAGAGTGATTCATAGTTTCCACCTCGGTTTTTCAGATGACTATAATGTAAATCTACAACTTTACTATGATTTCAACTGTGGCACCGGGGGACTTAGGATCACTTGTTGTGGCCTGAGCCACCTGATGTCTTTCGTGTTTATCTCCCCAGAGCTGCCTTACAAGCGACAAATGTTTTAATGAGCTGTCTTATTGTTCTAGTCAACTGCACACGTTTGAGATCCCCACATTTGGACATTTCAACAACTACAGTCTAATGATACCCAGATCAATGCTACTGAAATGAAAAATCATGCAGACTGAGTGATGACAGCCATATACACTTTCCAAAGAGCAGTGAAGCATAAAAAATAGATCAAGAAAACAGCAGTTAACAAAACAAAATGACAGCACAGAAACCCTGACA